GTACTGAATGCATAACCCAGAAAATGTGAACACAAACTTCACTGTGGTAATTTAAGGATTTGAATTCAGTTGAAAGGATCTAGAAATCTAATATAAGTAAAACACTGGATTATTGATAAAATCCACTGGTTCACGAATGTACTTTCGGGATGGAAACTTCTCACCCTTAACCAGTCAGGTTAATATACAACTAATGTCTCACACAAACACGGTTCATTTTTATACTACTTCAACCTAACAAGTCACTCAGCTATATACGACTACAAAGATGAAAGCCAACCACCACTTTCTCAAAGGTAACTATGGGAAGATAACGAAAAGCAACTTTGCCAGCAGCATCCACAATCAGAGAACGACTTGTAAAAAAGATAGCAGTAGATGCATCTGTAATTTCTGATATAGGCAACTCTAAGATAATTAGCATCATGTTAAGGACACATTTTAATTAGTTGGATTGCAATATTTTGGGGAGACGGATATGTATGATTCTGTATTTCATTTGAGTATTTTTTCAAATTACTTAATCCATCTGGAATAAACTAGGTCCAAGATGTACTTTAATACATGATTTTATTTTAATATCAAATTTATTGTCTTTCTGTTTAGAAAATACTGCTCAAATGTTTGCATATGATTGGCATCAGTAAATTACAACATAGGAACGATAGGAAGCTGAATGTACTAAACCGTAAGTTGTAGCAGGCAGCTGGAGAGAATGCTTTGGATGGTGTCACAAATCTCCCAGTCATTAGTTACAGAGCAAGGACCTGACAGTGCTTGCCCATCACTACCAATCCAGGATTTTGATGGCTTGAAGGTGACAGATAAGCAGTAAAAAAAAATTGTTCCCATTCATGAAAAGATTGGGCACAAAGTTAAATTGATTGGTAAAAGAAGCAAAAGCAAAGAGAAAATAATTTTCACGCAATGAACGGGTAAGGTTTGGAATGCACTGCCTGAGACAGTATGGTAGAAGCAGGTTCAATCAAGGCATTCAAAAGGGCATTAAATTGCTACCTGAAAAGGAAGGATGTGTAGGTTACAGGAAGAAGGTGACAGCATGAAGTGAAATGTTCATTCGGAGAATCAGCACAGACACAATAAATAGAGTAGCCTCCTTCTGCACTGTACTAATTCCATAATATAGGCAAACAAACTAACTGTTTGGTGGGGATTTGAGTGCAAAAAACAAAATTATTGCTACTCTTAATGACGATCCAGCGATTGTTGCTGGAAGTGAGCCTGTATGGACTTGAGTGAAGTATAAATCAGACTTCAACTCTGTTTTCACCTCCACTGTCAACTAATTTTAATTGTTGAGGCATACAAATTTGAATCAGCAACTGAGCAGCTTAACATTACATACTTGATCACATACCATTCTAAAAATCTCAACACTTTCTCCAAAGGCTTGACATTTTTCCTAAATTCTGCTTCCCAGAATTGCACACAATACTCCGGCTAAACCTAACCAGGGATTTATAAGTCAAGTACAACTTCTTCACTTCTGTGCACTACAAGTCTTTTAATAAAACCAAACCCTTTTTAAGCAGCCTCCTCCACTTGCCCTGCCATCTACAAACCCTTGTGGACATAACCATCACCCCCTTCCCAAATCCCCTCACATCCCGTGCCCTTTACTACCTTACTTGGCTTCATTCTTCCTACCAATCTGCAGCACTTCACACTTCTGTGTCAGTCCAAGTGAACAGTTAAAAAATTAATGACTGGGTTCCTCAGTGAATGCAAAGGGAAAGACAATGAACAACTTGTGTCTTCCAGTTTTCAAGATTAGAGGCAGCTAGAATTGGGAAAAATTAAATTGGCAAATTTCAATGGATCCAAACACTGCCTCTAACTGGTCGAACGGTTTTTATTATTGCAAGTGAGGTTAATCTTGAAAAGTCAACAACATTAGAAGTGCATTGAACTAGAGGTGACTGAGATGGCTAGGCAATTAGTTGGCAGCCAGGAAACTGAGATGAGGAATAATGGGATTAATACTACACTATGACCTTACGATGCAGCTAAGGATCTGTACCAGAGTCTCATCCTTTCCGTCCTGTTTATCAATGGCTTGGGTGAGAAAGCCAATGAAGTCAAATTAAATGGCACAGTAATTAGTGTAGTTGGAAATAGAAATTTGAGAAGTGACATTAATATATTAAGTAAACAGATTTTAACAAGGGGAACTGAGGTCAGCTACTTTGGACTTAAAGATAAATTAGTCTTTTCTATTGGTGAGAAGCCAAGAACATTGGAGGAACAGATAGATTCAGTGATCCAGGTACAGAATTTACAAAATTTTAGAGGTCAGATACAAAAAATAATTAATAAGAAATAGAATTCAAGGCAGATAGGATCAGTTAAGGCTAGGGCCCTCTGAAAATTTCAAAACTGAAACGGATTGATATTTCTTTGACCAAGAATAGTAGGGGACATAGAACCAAAACAGGTAAATGGAGTCAAAAACAGATCGGCCATGAATTAAGTGAATGGGAAAGGCTGAAACAAGCTCAAAGGCTGTTATACCCTTTACTCTCCCTGCGAAAGTCCGTTGAATGCAATAGATGTATCTGAATGAAAAAGATCTCAGATGGTATGGGATGTAATTGTTGGTGGAGACTGTTTATTTCCGCAATCTCCTGTGTTTCAAGCCCTTTACCATGGATAATGATACACACTGAAGAACAATTACACTGAATTACAAATAAAAGATACAGTGCAAAAATGGACCAATCAGTCCAACTGGTCTATGCTGGTCTTCATCCTCCATTCAAATCCCCTTCGATTGTGCGCTAACTCTATCAGCATATTCATGTATAGGGAGAGAAGGGCAGAGGGTCAAAAGCATAAATTAATTTATCAGTCCACTGGCAGGTTCAGAGAGGCAATGAAAGATATCTGTATGATGTTAGTACACTACAAGCAAGGGCTCTCAATGATTGAATATGTTAAGTTCTGGTTTTTGGTAACAGCTTATATTGACATAGCACCTTTAATGAGAGCAACAACCAACCAAAATAGAGTGACAAAAGGAGGTAAGTAGGTGAAGTGGCCCAAAACGTAGTCAAAAGGAGGAAAAGTCTGAAGAGGGAGAGGTGCAGAGTTTATTGGGTGGGGTTAGGGGGACTTGAATGTCACAACTTAGGGCTGAGGCAGCTGAAGGCATAGTCAGCAATGGTAGAGGGAAAGAAGCAAGATGTAGGAGGCCAGATGGGGATGTGGAAGGGATCCAGATGGATGTTACAGACAGAGAGAACAGCATATCATTGGTATGCTTACTCAATGCCTATATTCTTAAGTGATATCTGGAGGAACGTGAAGTTTAATTCCTCAGGAGTTCCAGCTTGTTCAATGCATGTAGGGTCCAATGGCCAGGAGACACCAGGTCTATCAATGGTTTCCCTAGCTACAGACACAAAGCATCATGTTAATATAGAAAAGGGAGAGGGGCTGGAGGAGGCAGTGTTATTCAGGGCCAGAGTTTCACAGAGGACTCATACACCAAGTTCAAGCGTCAGGTTCCTCACTGAAGGGCAACTTCAACAACAACAAAAAGGGCTGCATTTGAACCCTGATCGTCCAAGACAGCCTCTCGGCAACAGTTAGAAAAGGGACACTGCCTTTTTAACTGAAGGAGTGATTCAGGTCATGGATGAGATGCAAAAACAAAACAATGAACAAAAATAGGATTGCTTGCGAGACCGAATTGTCTGCTCAGCCCCTGCCTCGGGGGGAATGCTGAACAATGGAGGGAGTCAGAGCGCTCTGAATAATGTTTGGTGACAGACGATGATGTTGCAAGGTCGAGTTTAATCTAAATCAAAACTAGCTGCTGATCCCAAAGCTCTTTGTGAGGGCTCCACCGCTGGTTTTCAGACCTCGTGGACTATTGCAACCCCCCAACCTCCACAGGCCCATACAAAGACTAGGCGCCTCTCGACCATTCCATCATTCATGGGCTGTGTGTGTGTGTTCAATTCTGGTTCCCAAGGATACCGAGATGTGAAGGATTACTCGGTGTATCAGCCCCTGGATGGCAAGCTGTTCCCCAACAGCTTTGAAGGTCCATAGTTTGGAAACTGCTATCTCTCCCAGTCAGACAGCGAGAGAGAAAACAGTTTCAGGTGAAACCTCACAACCAGAAGGGGAGAGCGGGAGGATCCTGTTCAGATTTTACTACAGTTTGCCCACACATGGCTGGAGTATTTAAAAAGAAACACACGTCTCTGAGCTGGGATCAAACGGCTTCCTGGCAGCAAACATAATCGTCTCTCAGTCTTAATGTTTCTGTGGTCATGTTTACACCATATGACGAAACAGCTGCTGAAATCTCTCCAGATTCTCCTTCACCCTGTAACAACGAGCGAGCGTGATGCACATCTCTTCACGTGAACATCTGAGCTGCCAAGACAACGTGATGCCCTGGTTTCGGTAATTTTAAAAAAAACCCTTAAAATAAAACGTTCACTCGGCACGTCAGACGTGAAGAAACTGCTGCAGAAAATCTGCGAGCGATTTGGCTGAATAGGGATCAAAAAGCCGAATGAACTGTGCAACAACAAAAAAAAATGATCCATTGTAACACAGAGACTGCAAGTTTACAGCGAGATATTGCAGCTTTCAAACAACAGAAACTTCTCTGGAACCTTTCTATTCTAAACCCCCAACTTCATTCACCAGCGATAAGAGTGTGTGCACTGTAACATGTACCGCATTGGGCAAAGCAACGATGGAATTAACTCCCCAGAGCCTAGAGCTGGGATTTGCCTCAACATATAAAACTAAGTGACTTAGAGAGCGTTGAAGAGACAGGGCAAGTCGAGCTGAGAAACTTCTGCATCGTACAGAAAGACAACAGACAATAGAAAATAACATTCCACCACTGTTCATAATTAACTTTTTTAAAGAAAACCACACTTTCTGACTCTTTACAAACATCCTACAAGTCAGGGGATTGCGCCGCTCCTTGTGCCTCCTTTAAAGTCAAGCCATACCTCCACATTCAACCGCCAGCCAGAGCCCCCAGAGTAAATTCCAGAGTTTTAAATCCCCCATTACTCGCCGTTTCAAAGTTCGGAGTTCCCCTCGATTAACTTATACATCCATTCAAACGTGCAGCCCAGAAAGTCCGAATTATCATAGGAAAGATCAGGTGGGAGGGGGAATAAAATAAAAGAACAAAATACGCCTGGTTTGGGGGATGGGGTGGCGAAGTCTCGGCGCAATCCTCGGTTCAATCCCCCCCACCCCGAACCCGCGTCTCCAAACTTCAGCAGAAACTTTTTGAAAACTTCAGCATCGCTGGCTGTCCTTGAGCTGCACACCCAGGGGCTGTATCCATCCGCGCAGGAGGTGTGGGAGGGGAGGAGAGAGAGAGAGGAGGGGAAACTGGGACAGACAGAGAGAGAGAGAGGAGGGGCAGACACTCGTCACAACCTGCCCCGGGCAGCATCCCACTCCCAGGCAGCGAGGTTCCGCTGCTCCCGGAGAAACTTTCCCCGCACTATGGCACCTCTTCAAACTACACACACACATACGAAAATTCCCTCTAATACTTGCACTACTTATTCTTAAAAAGAGAACCGAGGAAAACTTTCAGTCTTGTTCAAGAACGCGTGCATACGTTATTTGGGAACTAATCAAAAAATCAAATCTTTCATGGTATTAAAATGTTTGAATCCGCGTTAACTCCAAGTATTACAGACGTGAGACAGTGAAATGCCACAAACTACAAGTCTGACCCAACAAGTGAATTATTTGGTATTAAATGTGTCTGTGTTACCAAAGGATAAATCTTGCAGCATTTTGTCTCTTAGTTGCAACTGAGTGTGGATTTTGTTGAAGCTAAAGAGAACAGTGTAAACAGCCTTATTGTACCAACTTTTTTCTTGCAGTGGGGCGAGTTTTCCTTTAGAAGGGAAGGGGGAGGCTCCTTTAAGAGCGCAGGACGCCTCTGCGGAGGTATCTGCCTTCAGAGCCTGGGAACAGAGAGGAGATAAATCAGAAGAAAGTTTATTGTAGTAACATGGCGTTGCACCGTTCAACATCTCAACCACCCGGGTCACAAAAAACAGGGCTGGGGGAGAAAAGCAGAACCACACCAGACCTTCACCAAAAAGGGAACAGAAAAATTAAATAGAAGCGCTGCAGAGAACTGAAAGAGAAGTCATCACTCGAGAAAAAAAGAGCGGGTGGGGGAATGATGAATATAGTGGACTGCTTTTTTTTTCACTTTTCAAGGAGTTTGGAGGTTTTAACATTGTCGAGAGGTGTGCTTTCAGGGATGGGGCTCAGCTGTGCTCCCGTTTCAGAGATCAGCTCTCCTATTCACGACCAGGACAGCAGAGGAGATAAGGGTGGCCGGGCTCCTGGCCATTATCCGTGAACACGGACCTGGGCTGTGCCGTGCGGTGACCCACTTCCCCATCAGCAGTTACACATTGACAATGGCATCTTGGGCAGGGCGCTGGCAGCGGTTAGTACTTGTAGATCTGCGACTTAATTACGGAATGTCTTCACAAGAACGTCGATGGGGAAAGAAGAAAACGAAGTATTCACAAACTCTACTCAAACTGCAAGGGTTCTACTCCCTGTGCTTGATAGACCCAATTTGAGCTGGAGCTGTGGTACTGTCATAGTTTCATCAAGACACAGAGCAAGACCATTGGGCCCATCATAATTCATGCCAGCACTCTCCATTTAGTCCTATTTCCCCGTGCCATAGCCATACAATCAGTATCGGAGCGAACAGTTTACTTCTGTTCCTATTCCCTATAACTCTAGAAATGATTGTTCCCTCCACAGTCCATCCAATTTCATTTCAAAATCTTCAATTTTTTCCATTTCCAACACGTTTGTAGGCTGCAGGTTCCAGATGATAACCACTCAATGTTAAAAAGAGTTCTCTTTTGCCCGCCTTCATCTAGTCAAAACCTTAAGTCTGTGGCCTTTTGACCTTGTCCAATCAGCGAATGGAAAAAGCGTCTACTCTATCTAAAAACATAGAAAAATAGCAGGAGTAGGCCATTTAGCCCTTCAAATCTGCTCTACTATTCAGTATCATCATGGCTGATCATCCAACTCAATAGCCTGTTCCCCTATCTCCTCCATATGCTTTGATCTCTTTACCCCCAAGCGCTATTTCCAACCACTTCTCGAAATCATGTAATGTTTTGGTTTCAACTGTGCCAGAGAATTCTTCAGGCTCACTACTCTCTGGATGAAGAAATTTCTCCTCACCTCAGTTCTAATGGTTTACCTCCTATCCTTAGGCTGTGACCCCTGGTTCTGGATTTACCCATCATCAGGAATATCCTTCTTGCACCCACCCTACCCAGTCCTGTTAGAATTTTATAGGTTTCTATGCGATCCTCCCTCAATCTTCCAAACTCCAGCAAACATAGTCCTAAAACAATTCAACCTTTCATACAATAGTCCAGCTATCCCAATAATCAATCTGGTAAACCTTCATTGCACTCACTCTATAACTCTATAGTAAGAATATCTTTCTTCAGATAATGAGACCAAAATGGCATGTAATAAACGAGTCATAATCTTGTACACTTCGATCAAATCTCCTCTCGATCTCCTTTGGTTCAAGAAGAACAACCTAAGCTTCTCCAACCTAGCTTTGTCTTTAAAATATTTTGTCCCTGAAACAATTCTGGTAGATTTTGTCTACATCCTGTCAAGGACCCTCACATCCTTCCTAAAGTGCAGTGAGCAGTTTGTATTATATTGGCTTTGTTCCTTCTGGTTGCTATTTAGTTATCTCTTTTGGTAAATGTGCATGTATAGGGAGAATTGGTTCCAAGCAGGATTGGTTTCAACTGTGTTGTCCCCAATGATAGAATAGCCTAGGGATGCTCATTCACCAGGTTCGTCTTCATGATGCAGTATCAACACTTAAGACTCTGCCATGAGGCCCTCCACAAATAAATAACCTGCTGACACTCGCTGTCAAAACGCATATAAGTGACCAATTTGCTTGACATACTTGAGTATACCAAGTGCCCGTTGAATCACATCAAGCCATTCATCATGGCTGTGTGAAGGATAGCAAACTGGGGCTGTGTTTTCCTGGAATATTTGACAAAGTGGCAGGTGATGTCAGAGGATATTGCTCCTGTGGGGGCCAGTTAGCTTAGTTGATTAGACAGTTAGGATGATATATGCCCTATTGTAATAAGATCATGAAATTTAGCATTGTTCGAGGGGTAATAGCTAAGGACCTGCCTTTGGACAGGGAACTTAAGAAGACTACATGCTGCAGCATTGAATAAAATTAAAATAATTCACTAATAAAGTTGGCATAAGTCACATAACTTACATTAACTTCACACATTGGTTACAGCATATCAACACAACAGTATTACTTAATATATAGGAGGAAAGTTTGATTTTTGAGTTTTTTTGAGGAAGTAACAAGAAGATTGATGAAGGCAGAGGGGTAGATATTGTTCACTTGGATCTAGTAAAGGTCTTGACAAGGTTCTGCACAGTAGACTAATTAGTAAAATTAGATCACATGGGATTCAAGGTGAGTTTGTCAATTGGATACAAAATTGGCTTAACAGCAGGAGACCGAGAGAGATGCTCGAAGGTTGTTTTTTGGATGGGAGACCTGTTACCAGTGGTGTTTTACAAGGATCGGTGCTGGGTTCACTTTCGTTTGTCATTTATATAAATGATTTAGATGAGAATATAGAAGGCACGGTTAGTAAGTTTGCAGATGACACCAAAATTGGTGGTATAGTGGACAGTGAAGGAGGTTATCTAACATTACAAAAGATTTTGATCAATTGGGTCAATGGGCTGAAGAGTGGCATATGGAGTTTAATTTGGATAAATGCAAGGTATTGCATTATGGTAAAACAAGCAAGGGCAGGACTTATCCAATTAAAAGTAGGGCCTTGGGTAGTGTTGTAGAACAGAGAGACCTAGGGATTCAGCTTCATAACTCTTTGACATTTGCATCACATGTAGGTAGGGTGGTTAAGAAGGCATTTAGCACACTTGCCTTCATTGCTCAGACCTGCTCATTGAGTATAGGAGTTGGGATGTCATGTTAAGGGTGTACAGGACATTGCTGAGGCCTCTTCTGGAATACTGTTCTGGTCTCCCTGTTATAGGAAAGATATTATTAAGCTGGAGAGCATTCAAAAAAAATTACTAGGATGTTGCCAAGAATGGAGGATTTGAGTTATAAGGAGAGGCTGGATAGGCTGGGACTAATTTCACTGGAGTGTAGGAGGTTGAGGGATGACCTTTTCGAGGTTTATAAAATCACGAGGGGTATAGGGGTATAGGGTGAACAACAGGTGTCTTTTCCCTGTCCCAAGACCAGGAGGCATATTTTTAAGGTGAGAGGAGAAAGATTTAAAAAAGGCATGAGGGACAATTTTTTTATAAGAGAGTGGTTTGTGTGTGGAATGAACATCCAGAGGAAGTGGTGGGTGTAGGTACAGTTACAATGTTTAAAAGACATTTAGATAAGTACACGAATAAGAAATGTTTGGGGGGATATGGACCAAGCACAGGCAGGTGGGACTACTTTATTTTGGGATTATGGTCAGCTTGGACTGGTTGGACCAAAAGGTCTGTTTCTATGCAGTATGACTAAGAGAGAACTGGTGCATCAAATGCATTAGTTGTAGTAAACCTAACCATATATTTTCCACACTGTAATCTTTGTTTTTTTTTACAGAATTTACTCCAATCTGTATGTCTCTACAACAATTTTGTCTTTTTCTCCATCCTGTGGTCACATTTATCTATCTACCAACATCAGTTTAAGGGGAGATGATGGCTTAGTGGTATTATTGCTAGACTATTAATTCAAAGACCCAGGAAATGTACTGGTGACCTGGGTTCAACTCCCACCATGGTAGATGGTGGCATTTGGATTCAATAGAAATCTGGAATTAAAAGTTTAATGATGGCAGTTGTCAGGGAAAAACTCATCTGGTTCACTAATGTGCTTTAGGAAAGGGCTACATGTGAGTCTATACCCACACCAGTATGGTTGACTTTTAACTACCCCCTGGGCAATTAGAGGTGGGCAATAAATGCTGGCCTAGCCAATGCTGCCCACATCCTGTGAATGAATAAATAAAACTGACCAATACTCCTCTATCTAAACATTGCTGTTTGAGGGATCTTGCTGTGTGTAAAATTGACTGCTGGTTTCCTGTATTAAAATAGTGACTATACTTCAGAAAAAAACTAATTGACTGTAAGCACTGTTGAATGCCCTAAGGTTGTGAAATATAAACACAAATAATTTCTTTCAGAGCACACGATACTTCATAAAATACATGTGGTCTGCTACAGTTCCCAGTTTAACACATGCTGCCTTATAGTTTTGCTCATTTTGTATCTATT